TACAACAATGTTCATAAAAACAATAAATAGTCATCCTTTGTCTACTAAACATTTTAGATCAAAGAGGCCCAAACCCTGCATCGTCGAAAGTCCTACTGTTTGTTCAGCAGGAAGCTTTGCACTTCCCACCAGCAGCCTGCCCAGCCTGCCCAGCCCCACAGGCCGCTGTGGACAACTTGAGGGTCCCTGTGTCATCATGATGCACACTTTGCTCTGGCCTGCCTCTTGCTCAGGTTTGTCCTGGCTGAGATTTCCGTGAGCTGGGACCTGAGGGTGGGATGAGCAGTGTGCCCTTGGCACTGGCCCCAGCCACAGCTGCAAGCCCCAGCTCAAACTGGATTTCTAGGCTGGCATCTGCATGCCCCGATTGGACTGTAAACCCCTCCCAGGACGAACTACATCTCCTCTCTCTGTGTAGTCTCAGAGTAGGTTCTATGCTCGTGTTTAAAAACAGCATGTGTTTAAAAACTCCAGAGGAAGAAGACCTGCTCCTCCACAGCCCCTCCCCTTTTTCAGGGTGAGCATTTCAAGGGGCCTGAGGAACTCTGAACCCCTCGATCCCAGCCCTTCATAGGCTGGGCACGCACACCGTGCCACCCCTTCCTGTGCTCCTCTGGGAAAGTCTAACATACACGTGCCACACCACACACACACAGCACCTTGGCACCTCTCTGCTGACCTGGCTTGCCTGAGTGGAATCCCAGTCCAGGGCGCCTCTCCCCTGTGCCTTGCTCAGTCACAAAGCTGTCATGCAGACAGCTCTTCAGTGTGGGACATCTGCGCTCAGTGGGCTACAGAACTGCCACATGCCAGTGGCTAAGAGGGAGGCGACTGAAAGACCCAACCCTAGGCACTGGTGACCTCCATTAGAAGCCATAGAAGGCACAGGTTCTAAATCCCAACTCGCCCACAAACATCACAGTGACCCCTAGCCTACTTCTGGGCCTCAGTTTCCATTTCTGGGAGGTAGAAACACTCTGCAGATTGCCAGAAGCCATACAGGAAGTGACCACACAGGAAGTGGGGCAAGGCCGGGCAAAGGATACGTTTTTTGGGTTTGTTTTGCTGTTTTTTGAATACTGACTGAGAGTCAAGAGACCTAGGAACACAGGACATGCAGAGAACATGATTGCAAGCCAGGTGCACACTGGGGTGACTTCTCCAGTGAGAGCTGCAGGACCAAGACAAGAGAAACAACCTCTACCTCCCTGTGTGGGCACAAGTCTTTCACAGGGAAGGCGACCCTGGCTGAGCTGTGAAGGATGTTCAAGCATGGGAGGAAAGGTGGAGACCAGAACAGCATTCCAGATGGAAGGAAGGCAGAAACGAAGGCCTGGAAATGGGATGTAGTTGCACCTGGAGACCTCCAGCAGTAGTTGAAGCCTGGGCCATAGGGCGTGGGGTCATCCAGTGGGAAAATCAGCAGTGATTTCTTGCAAGTAATTAGGGGGAGAAGAGCTTGTCATCCAGTGTGTTTTCTCTTTGGTCAGGCAAAGGTTTTCTTTTTCTTTTAAGGCAAAGTCTCACTAGATGGTACAAGCTGACTTCAAACTTGAAATCTCCTGCCTCCCCATGTGCCACCACACCCAGGATTTCTTAAATTTTTCATTTACGTACAGTAATTGTGTGTATTTATGGGATACTGTATGACATGTCAATACTGCACACATGTGTAGCCCCCTCTTCAGTAATCTTCATTTTTGATCATTTTAATTGTAAGAGTAACATGTGTTAATTGTTAAGGAAAAACCAACTAGTTATGGAAGTACAGAGATAAAAAGTACGTGCTCCTGCCCCATTCCTTAGAAATAAATTGCATAGTCATCCTTCTGAACTTTGTATTAAAGAGTACTGTAAATTAGAAAGTGCCACAGACAGATTTTGTATATAAAAAAATCCCTTTGAGCACAGATATAAAGTGTGATCAAAAAATTTGGTGAAGAGTTAAAAATGTTTCAATATGTTACAGTAGAAGAGACATCGACATTAATCCCCCTCAAAATCCTTCTCCTGGCTTCAAACACACTTATCCCTTGGTTCTTGCCACTTTCTGCAGCAGCTCTGGAGTTTGCTTTCCTGAGTGTCTTTAGTTGCACTGTCCTGGCTGCCTTGGTGTCCTGAACGGATTCAAAATGTTTCCCTTTCAAGTTCACTTTGATTTTAGGGAAGAGCCAGAAGTCATACAGCGCTAGACCCAGTGAACAAAGTGGATGAAGACACACTGGTATGTTTTTAGGAGTCTGCCTTTCTGTTGGATGGTGCTCAGCAGCAGCACTCACCTAGCTTTGATCACACCTTGTATAGACACTCAGGAAAGAGGACCCCAGAGCTGCTTCAGAAAGTGGCAAGAGTGATGGGATAAGTGTGTTCAAAGCAAGGGGGAGTTTTGAGGTGGGTGCATGATGATATGTTTATTTTGATCACATCTTGGGTGGGATTAAAAACAGGAAGCTTCCCCAAGTGACTGTCACAGCTCCTCCCAAGGGACAAGGAGAGTCTACACTGAGGTCATCAGGAGAGACATGGCACTTGTGTCAAGAGGTGTGGGTGAGGAAGGAGGCAGTCAAGAGTGAAGACCTGATTTAGTCTATATTAAGGAGATTGGAAGCACAGAAAAAGCACAGGTTCATGGGGGAAATTAGAAGCTTCATTTTGAAATGTGATGAGTTTGGCAGTCAGACCTGCAGGACGGGGTTCCAGGTCTGGAGCTCAGAAGAGAAACACGGCATCAGAGGCAGACATGGCAAAGTTCCACGCAACAGAGGACAGAGCTCAGGGAGACAGAGGAAGACTGCAGTGAGGAAGTGAGTGCGGAGCTTAGTGTACAGTGTTCACCCAGCATGCCCAAGGCCCTGGGTTCGAGCCCCTGACATGCACGCATGCACACATGCAGAGAGAGCCAAGCTTTGGAGAGAGGGAGGAGGAGCGGAAACATGGAGAATAGTGTGAGGTCAGAAGCAGAAGAAGACTTAGGAGCTGCAGCAGCTGCAGATGCTATGCAGGAAGAGGGAATCCGAATCCAATGACATTTAGTGTCCTTGAGGAAGGAGTTACACGAGGACAGGTCAGGGCCACCTGTGTGTATCATTAGAAAGGAGCAGGAAAGCAAGTGCCTCCACACAGGGCCAACAGTAACTGCTCCTGAGTGCTAAGATGATGGATGATTGCTATTTTCCCAGAAAGGAGTGCTGGGATAAGGAAGAGGAAGGTGTTTCAGAAGGAAACATTTAGAAACCTATAAAATACATTTATTCACTATGCTCAAGTATTTAAACTCATAAGAGAGGGCAGCAACTTTACGAGGGACACAGCTGCTGCTGCAGGTCACTACTTGCCATGGGTCAAAGCCCCATACAACATGGCCTGAAATTCCCTAGCTTCCTCCAAAGGTCCCCCAGATCAGCTCTGGAACCTAACAAGGGTGAGCCCTAAAATTCAGCCTTTGGAGTCTATGATTTTTGCCAACCCCTCTACCCACCAGACCTATTATTAATAAAAGTTCTATTTCCACCAACTCACTTTTTAAAGTTACATAGATCCATTTGTATCATTATAGCATATAGAAAATCATCATCACAATAAATAGATGGTAACTAAAAAATAAATATAATGAGAGAAAAATAAGGCTTCTTAGAAATTTTAGCAAGATACCCTTGAGAACCAAAGATTTCTAGCTCAAGATCTGATCTAGGTTGAGACCTGATCCAGCTGTCTGGTCAAAAAGGAGATTAAAAAGCCCCAGACCAGGTTCAGAATTTGTGGGTCCTGTCTTCCTGTGGACGGGCCAAGAAGCATCCCCTGGACAAGGGTTCAGCAGCAGATGTTTCCTGGAAAGGTAAGAGGAGCATGGAAACAGGAATATAGGGGTTGAGAAGTGAGGTGAAAAAGGGAGAAAGTCAGTAAATAAGTCACTATCTTAGTCAATTTCCTGTCACTGGGACAAAATACCCAACACCAGCAACTTGAGGGAGAGTTCTTTTGGCTCACAGTTCCAGGGTGTTCGGTCCATGGTCTGCTGGCTCCAAGGGAGAAATGCATGACAGAATGGCCTGATGGGAGACAGTTGTCTGCTTTGAGATAGGAAGGAAGCAGAGTGGGGTCGCACTGTTAGTGACCTGCAATTCCAGGCAGGCTCCACCTCCAACAGCACAGTCAACTCTAAACTCCCCCATGGATAAACCCACTGATGAACAGAACACCCCCATGATCAAATCATGCAACTTTTGGGAGACATTTTAGATATAATGTGCACACATGTAACTTTTGGGGGCCATCTTAGATATCAACTGTAACAGTTACCAAGGCAACTGGAGCACAGTCCCACTGGGGAAACTCAGGCAGCAGTACCCAGCATAGCTCAGCTGAGCCCACGAAGAAGGTGAGAGGGCTAGGCTCCATCCACACCACTGGTTGTGAGTTGTGACACATTCACTCCAGCATTCCTGGCTGCCTCAGGAGAGTGAAGAGGTGTGGCCAGGGTCCCAGCACCGACTTGGCTCCAGCAACTACACCGAGATGGAGAGGAAAAGGAAATGGCTTTTGCATCGTTCAAGTAGAATGAATTGGTTGCTGGGCCCATAAGTCATTCAGAATCATCTTCCCCACCACCATGCTAGGGCTCCTGTACCCAGAAACCTGCAGCTATTCTGGAAGGCAAGAAACCGCTCAGCAGGTTGGAGCCTGGCCCAACACTATCCTCAGTGGCCTGGTCAGCTTCATCCACATCAGGCAACTGAAAGATGACTTTGAAACAGCTGCATTGTCTCTAACTGTCTGAGTTTCTAAAAGATTTCCCTCTAGAGAGGCAGGTCACCACTATGAAAATCTCTATTGACAACATACCTAAGTGAAAATACGATGTTTTTTTGTTTTGTCTTTTGAGACTGTGTCTTATGTAGTTCAATCTGGCCTTGAACTCACTATGTAGCCTAGGCTGGCCTCAAACTCATGGCGATCCTCCTGTCTCAGCCTCCCAAGTGCTGGGATTACAGCCATGTATTGTCATGCCTAGCTTTACTTCAGCACTTTCAAAAAGGAATTTTTACCCCTATAAAAACTGTCAAATTCCTTCCAGTAACAGCTTCCCTGATTCACTTAGAATATAATTTATTACTTACAAATATCAAACTATACCCATTTCACGGATCACAACTTTAACAGTGATAAAGTGTTGGGTACCATCTGCTGCTGATTTGTGAGCCTGTATTTTTTTGTGGATATTCATTCATTCAACAAATAGGTAGCTAGGTTTATAGCAATGAAGGAAACAGCAAAAAATCTCTTACCTGGGGGGAATTAATTACATGCTGGTGGGAAAGATAGTCAGTTAATAAATGAATAAAACATACAGGAGCTGATGATAAGTACTACAAACCAAGCAGGAAAAGAGGATAGGGAGCACCACGACTGGGGAGGGACTACAAGGGCAAATAATCAGAACCATGCCAACAAGGGACGTTTGGAGAGCCAGCTGTAAAGGACGTGAAGAGATAAACCACAGGAAGATCTGGGAAAGGTTACTGCACAGACAGCACACACTCTGTGCACACATCCTAGGGAAAGAACTTGCCTGAGATTTGAGGAACTATAAGGAGACTTGTTTGGCTGGGAACGGTAGGCAAAGGGCACCAGAAGACTGGCGAGAACAGATCGCAGGGTTGTGGACCACTGACAAGGGGAGACTGGCTGGGGCACTCTCAGCAGAGCAGAGATATGAACTGACCTGGTTCGGGAGACAGCAGTTGCGTGCTGTTGTCCCAGAGAGAGAACTGGCAGTCTGAAGATAGCAGGAGAGGTCGTTGCTGTGGGTTCCACTTGCGGGAAAGGGACATAGAGCTGGACCAGCTGAGGGGCGGGAGAGAAAGGTGGAGTGAAGGTGTTGTCCAGGCTTTGGCCTGAGCTACTGGAGACCTCAACCTGCTGTTTCTGGAGACAGAGAAGACGCCAGAGGAGCAGGGGCAGGTAAGACCAGAAATTGGGTTTTAGACACATGGAGCCTCAGATGCCAAAGACCGACCCAAGTGGCAAGGTGTGCAGGCAGCTGGAGGAGCCAGGCTGTACCTCAGGGGCGAGGTCACAGCAGGAGGTCTCTGGGAGTCCTGGTGCACAGCATATTGGAAGATGAGGGGTGGGAGGAGGCGTCAAGGGAATGAATCAGTCAAGAGCCTGAGCCCCAGGGCCACTTGCTGGTGGCACCATGGAGTGTGGGAAGAAAGTGTAATCAGTGAGTGGGTCAAAGTGCCAAGGATTGGTCAGACAAGGGGAGAGAGAACTCACCATCACGTTTGCCAGTTCTGGCCAGGAGCCAGGGCCAGAAACACATCTGGAGTGTGTTCCGTGAAGCAAAAGGAAAGGGATGTGTGTGCGTGTCATTTTAGTATTGCTCAGACCCTCAAAAAATGTCTAATTACTTCCCTGGTAAAATGAAGTATAATTGAAAATAGCTCCACTCAGTGTAGTTAACTGAATAATCTAAGTTTTAAAACGTTATTTCCCCCAATAGTAGGATATTTTGCATTCGCTTTTGGTGCTGGGAATGGACTCAGGGCCTTGCACATGCTAAAAATGTGCTCTACCACTGACCTAAGGTCTCCCCCATGCCTAATTTCATGTGAATGCCAGCCTCACTCTGCTTTCCTTTTCACAGGATCAGAAGAGTGGGTCCACACACCACCGAACTATAAGTCTAGGCAGCGGGTGCCTAGTCGTCTAGGCAGTGGTTGTGTCGTCTATGCAGTTAGGTAAATGACTTCTATCCATTCTCATGAGGCGTTGGTGATCTTCTGTAAAGTAGGCAAACAGAGACAGAAGGAGAAAAATAGGAGCAAGCCATACTTGTGCATTATCTCAAAGCTGAGTGGTAGAATGGGTTCTCCTTTATTCCAGTATAACACACTGGATGAACACAAAGTCACTTTATTAGCATCCACAGGCAAGCTGGTGGCATGGTTACTGTGTCATAACACAATGAAAACTGACTATGAAAATGAAAAGAAAAGAGAAATTGCTCCCTCTTTCCTTTAAATTAAATATTGTGTCATGTCCCTGGTCAGATCTGAATAGAGTCCTGAGTTTTTAACCATATAAATTAGTTATAATGTTTGCAGTACAACTTTTATTTGATTACAGATGCTTCTTTCATCTCACTAAGACTAGAAGAAATGAAGGAAATAGGATATCACTCCTCCCCTGGTTAACTGGAGTGAGGGCGGATTATTCATGAGATCGGAGTTCTGGGATCTACATAAAATTATTACTGCTTTCTTTTTTTCTGATTAAAAAAAGGAGTGGAAAGAGACATTATGGTTGAAATACAACTACTTCCATGAAATGTTTCTTCCACAGTGCTGGGAACCCCCAGATAACAGCCTTGTATTCAAATGAGAGAAGCAGAAAATGCAATTTACCTGAAGCATTAAGTGAAACAATAATTGTTTTTAAAAAAATCATTTGTAGGGGCTGGGGATTTAGCTCAGCAGCAAAGCGCCTAACTGGAAAGCACAAGGTCGTGAGTTCGATTCCTGATACCAGAAGAAAAACAAAACAAAAAAATCATTTGTAGTAAGTGAAACTCAGTAACTAATATACAATGTCCATTTGATTTTCAACAGTTTCCTATCTTTAGTGGTCAGGAAATACCGTGATAATGATTTTCATTTAAAGATCATGTTTACTGCAGCTATTGTTGAAGTAATGGGTAGATGATTGATCACATCTTTAACTCCTGCATGGAAATAAGCACCAGTCCTGGCTCACAGTTAAAGGAGGGAGACAGGAGGAAATATTGAGTTAGTGTGTAATCTCCCTCTCCTGCTTTACTTCTAAAATCATAAATTAACACACTATTGCTCTCTGTCCAACTGGTCCCCTCATGGAAATTAATATTTTTTTAATCCTGATTTTCAGCCTGTTTTTTCTAATTTTTAAAGCCACAACAGCGATTCCCACCTGGTGACTCTCTGGCCACCAGTTCACTACCTTGGGCATCAGATCATCTTCCCTATGGGTTCGCCTCAAGGGTCGCACGATGAAACCCCCGGAGCATCCCGGTGGAAAGTTTATCGAGTGCAGTCACAGCACCCAGGGACTGTCACCGTGCCTGTCCGGAGCCGCCTGGGGCACTCCTCCCGAAGGGAAAGAGGAAACCCAGCAAGGGCTGCCAGGCAGCAAGGGGTCGGGGCCCAGCGCACCCTTCTGTCCTTCGGCAGTCCCTGATTGCTGGGATGACTCCAGGGTGACCTCCGAGCTTGGATTTAAATTGATTTGAGTTTTCCCTTTTCTGGAAGTCAGGGATTATTTAGAGAGGCGGGGGGGGGGGGGGAACGACTGAGATTCAGACATTTATTAGTAAGGGAGGAAATGTCAGGTTACGTCCCATCTGCATTTTAAAAACATTTCTCATAAGAGAAATTTGGGAAATGCCCCCCACCTCCACCAACAATGAGTACAGTTTTGGGACACAGCGGAAGGCGGGCCTGTTTGCTGGATTCCACGGCACATGCACTTGGACTACAGCAGAAGCATTTCCCCCCGAGGAAATGCAGTGGGGCACGCTGAGCACATGTGCGAGCCTCTGTAATTCCACCCCCACCAAAGAACCTGGAGCTCCCTTGTCTCTGGGGTGCAGCTGCCCCTGGAAATCACTTGCTGCACAGACTGCGCCCCCAAAATTTCTGTTCCTGGACCAACCAGGATCTCTTCTCTATGCTGTTATGGCGGGACCACAGCCATTATTTCATTTATTGCACTGATAAATAATTTTTAAAGCACGGCGTCTCACTGAACTGGTTTGTGTTTCAGTGCAACACTGCAACAGCCTCCCAGACCACCTGAGTTCCGCTCCCCACCTCCTGCAGAGACCAGCATGAGCACGTTTTCTGGAAAGGTATTCTCCCATCTGACAAGGTTTTCAGCTGGACAAAGTACATTCCAGAAACTTTAAGGGAGACAGTAAAAAGACAGCTTAGGGGCTGGGGATTTGGCTCAGTGGCAAAGCGCCTGCCTGGCAAGCGCAAGGTCGTGAGTTCGGTTCCTGGTACCGGAGAAAAACCAAAAAAAAAAAAAAAAAAAAAAAGACAGCTTAGTAACAACAAATGACACATTACCTGAAAGTGTAGCTGAAAAAATGACTTCTCAGTGAGTTCACTTGAGAAGGAAAATCTGTGGGGTGACTGAAACGTTGTGTATTTTGAACAGAATGATGGTTTCGTACACAGAGATATTTATCAACACTTGCTGAATTAAACACCAAAGACTTGTGCGTTTCGTGTGTTAAATTTTACCTTCCCTAAAGAATTAAAGTCATCATACCACAGTGACCCATGCACACCCATGTTTATAGCAGCACAATTCATAATAGCTAAATCTTAGAAACAGCCTATACATCCATCACCAGATGAACAGCTAAAGAAAATGTGGTACTTACACACCACAAAGTACTACTCTGCCATAAAGAAGGATAGACTTGAGTCATCTGTAGGAAAATGGATGCACCTTGAGAGTATAATGTTAAGTGAAGTAAATCAGACACACAGACTTAACTATTGCATGGTTTCTCTTATATGAGAAACACAAATTATAAACAACGAGCAAAATAAAAGATAATAAGAAGTAGGAAGATAGATCTTCCTTAAAGGGGAAGGGGAAAGAAAGATGAAGGAAGCAGGGAGGGAGGAAGGGAAAGAAAGGGGACAAAAACCAGAAGAATGTGTACCAGCTGCACACAAGAAGTGCAAGCATTAGGTACTGCAAATATCACTAATGAAATAAATACATGAATTTTACTTTACAATTTAAAAGCCCTTCCTGATGATTGCTGTATGCCCTGAGAACCCTTTGAATTAACTTCTGTATGGCCACGAGGGCCTAAATTCAGCCCTGCTATGACACAGTGACCCTGGCCTTGCTTCCTTTTCCTCCTCCTCCTTTGTGATTCACTAACATATTTCATGGCAGTTGTTGTTATTGAAATTCTCTAGGATTGGCTCTTTTGGTCTTTAAATCTTTTGGTTATATTACATCTTATTACTTTAATAATAATTGGTTCAATTGCATAAGATTTTTTTTTTTTAAACACAAAGAAGAAAATAAAAATCACTCATACCTCCACTCTTTAGGGTAAATTGTTAGTATTTCTGTGTCTGTCTTCCTAGATATAATCAACAGATCTGAGCAGAGTTCCACTCTGTGTCAGGAATTCTTTGAGACACCAGGGACAGTGAGGTAAGAAAGACAAGGTCCCTGTGAACACATTCTACTAGATAATATGTACATAGGGATTTTTTTAAATGAGAGCAAGATTATATTCATTCTCTTATATCCTGCCTTTCTCATCTAACTGCATCAACTCTACTTTTTCCTAGGGATGAAAATAATCAAACATAATTTTCATAGCTGTGTGGTGATTCCCTGGGGGGCTATATTAGAATTGATTTCATAAATCTATAGTTTGAACAGTCAGACCTTTCCAAGTTATAAACTACATTTCTATGAACGTCTCATTGAGAGTCTTTTGAACATATCTTTGACATTCTTGCTGGCAAAAGTATTTCAGCAATTGCTGATACAGTTCACTTTTCCTTCTAAACAGCCTTTGCTGTGGTGACTACATGAGCTTAATCCTTACATCGCTGTGCCTGTGATGAAAGGGCCAATGGGTCGTTTTTAAAAGCCACAGTAAAGGGGGACATGCTCATGGACTTAGTTCCAGGAGATGTTTGGCTCCAGAAAAGCATATCATGGTCTGGGAGATGATTCTCACCAGTAGATTCTCCGCTGTTTCTCCCTGGAACTGGCCCTGCCTGCTGTTGTTCACCTTTCTCCTCTTATTCATGAGGTTTAAATCTCTGAAATGAGGGGAATGACTGTGCTACTAGAAGACATTTGCCTGAGACTAAGGCTGAGCTTCATTAAGGTATTTTGCTAAAATCTCCAAGCACAAGCTCTGCATGTACCAAGACACAGCTGAAGAAATAGTTCAAAAATAAAGGCTGTAGAGGGAATGGTGCTCCCCATTTGATCGATTTCCTGAGAACCTGTGATCCTGCATGCTCAGACAGCTAGGAGGCTGGCAGTTTTACAAGGGAAGAGAAAGTTGTCCTGGAATATATAATACAGAGAATCTTCGAGTTATATTGTTCCTAAAGTTCAACGGTAAATCTATTATTTAGAATGTAGACAAGTACTCAAAAGGATTCAGCAACACAGCAAACCACAAGTATTCATTGCACACCCATCATGCATAAAGCACTGTTATAATACACTTTAAATGACTGTTACAATCTCAAGCTACTTCTCAGACTTATTTCACCCTCTACTGAAGTTGGAAGTCATGAGAGATAGTATATAGCAATATATTGTATTAATATTCTTTGATACAGCTTTGATCACCCACTGTTTTGAGGGAATTGTGCAAGGCACTATGGGAGGTTATAGAGATGAATCAGACAAAAACTTGTCATTAAAGAGCTGACTGACTGTAGCTGCAGTAACACAGTGGCCTCTAGCAAGTGTACTTCAGAGCCCCAGAGTGGGACCAATTGAAGCTCAGATGTGTTATAAGCAAACTATGCAGACTTAATATTTTAAAACTATAAAATCTTTTGTTAAGTTTTTACAGTGATTACATGCTAAAATGGTAATATAGTCAGCCCTCTTCTGTCCAAATGTGGACTGAAATTTTTAAAACATTGTGTCTGTACTAAACAAGCACAGAGATTTTATTCTTATTATTCCCTAAATAATAGACTATAACAGCAAGTTCCGTAGTGATTACATTATATTACAGATTATAAATCATCTACAGATTAAAGTACATGCAAGGACACGTGTGGGTTGTAGTAAATGCCACACAATTTTATACAGCAGACTCACGGATCCTCAGATTTCCGTTTCCTCAGGGGATACCAATCCCAGAATCAAGTCCCAATGGGTACAGAGGAATGAGAAATAGTACATAGCAATATGGATATAGCCTATCCATATTTTTGATATTTGTATTAAATCAACTATATTATTAACACTAATTTAATCTGTTGCTTTGTAGCTTTTGAATTTAAAATTCCATTATGGAACTTGTGTTGTATTGCCATGGGCAGTGCTGCTCTACACAATTCTGTTTACCATCTAGTCTGTGCCATGTAACTGGGTGTCAGTTTTGTGTACTCTGCCATCAGGGAAGTGAATATGACAGCTGAAGAAACTGCTAGTTCAATGATTATGCTAGCTCCACACATCTTTCTAGTTCATCTTCAATGCACCAGCAGCTATGGAAGGTGGTGAGGATACAAGAAAACAAAGAAGCTCTGTACTTGTTGGGGAGAAAGTAAACAAGCAGACAAACAAATACAAAATAATAGGCCAGCAGCGAGAGGGAAAGATAGACTATGGAAGATAAGGGAGAGCAGCCAGAATGGGGACAGGGAAGACAGGGCAGGGAGAGGGCTGGTTCTCAGATAACATCATGGGAAATGGAGACGTGATCTGAGAAGCCTGGATGAAGCCAAGGAGTGAAACGGTGACCGCCTACCCTGTCTGGTTAACAACCCTTAGCAGGCTGATCAGTGCCAATGACCATGGATGGAAACCCCTGAAGCCGTAAGCCAAAATAAACCTTCCCTCCTTTGCGTTCATCATCTCCTATGTTTTCTCCCAGTGCTGGAAAGCTGACCAGGACAGGAAGTACATGTGGAACTTAGCAAGGGGAGGTGAAGGCCAGGTAGTAGCCCCCACAGGCATGGAAGAGGGAGCTTACAGCCAGGGAGTGGAGCTTCAACAAGGTATATCTGACTCAACCCAAGGTCTTTTGTTCCTGAAAATGCAAAGCAAAATAATAAAAAAAAATTACAGAGAATTCAAAGACCAAATAATCTGTGTAACTGAAGCCTCAGAATACATCTAAGGAGTCTGGACAGTTATCCAAAATGGTAGTCAAAAATGGCCATGTACTGTCCTGGAACAGCAATCAATCTCCCTCCCTCGCTCTCTGCCAGTTGAACTTAAGGGAAGGGGGCTTGAGAACTGGATTTGGCAGCGTGGGACTGCAGGGCCATTAAGTCAAATTCCGATGAAACAAATCAGCTTTATTTGTGCCCCCCCAAAAGCATTTTGTTGAGCCAGGTGACAATTTTGTAGCCTAAACTATTTGCCTTGCCACAGTCAGCCCTCCAAATTCACCTCCTCATCACTCATTCGGAGTTGAAGCACAGCTCTGCAGCCAGGGAAAGAACTAGAAACTGGCTGTGTTCTGGATAAACGCATTATTGGTGAAGATAACTTCACCAGATGCGTCTTTCTGCACATAGAAGTGCTTTAAAAAAGAAAGTGCCCTCCAGTCGAATGTTGAGTTATGTAGGGCAAGTCCCTCCTCTGAAAGGCAAATAAAGATTTAAGCAGTTACCAGCTTCAACTGAAAACAAATGCTCATCAATCACAAGGTTCCCAGAAGCCAGGTCACCGGGAAAGGAGGCTCTGTCCTAGCCCCCAGGTTGGCTCATTTACTTTGATGGAACTCACTGGAAAATTGCTCCACTCCACGCTTGGCTGTGCCTGAGTCGCCGTGTTTTCTGGGGATTGGATGTCGATCCTGTCAGTCAGGCACTTTCCCCGAGCACTAAAATGCACAGATTACACACATCAAAGGCAGGCTGTGACCGCTGGCGCTGAAATTTACACAAATCTGTGCTGAGAGTAACTGGATAAACAATGAGACTAATGACCTTGTTCTCCGTTCATCTCCACGGGCTCCCTTGGTACTGCAGTTGCCTGTGGGTGCGAAGGTTGTGGCTTTGGCTTCCAGCTTCCATCCAGGGATTAGGTGCTTGCCCGATGCTCACAGAACTCAGGAAGCCCAAGAACACAACCAGGCCACCTCCACTGTATGAGGTACATTTACCAGGGTTCAAGAAACACTGCCCTTACCATAGCCACTGAGGAAATAGATTTATAAAAACAGTAAATCTCTTAGCCACACCACTCTATTTAGAGTTCATTTTCTTCAGAAGAGGGTCTTGTGTTTCTCTTGGGTACCTTCAGGACCTCTGTATAGCCATTTCCCACCCACCCCCAAAAAAAACCAAGATAGATCCCACAAGGTCTTAGTCATGGTCCTCTTCTGGCCAGGAATAAATTTCAAGAAGGCTATCATGGATAAAGAAAAGTGAAAGGAAGGAATGGCTGACAGTGTTTGGTGAATTAATCAGTGTCTACTTCTGATCAGAGATTTTGGTGAAAGATAAGTTAAAAGCAAAGAGTGCCTCCTAAATGCCAGCTAAAATCGCTAGGTTCCCTCAGTGTGACTCGTAAGGCTGCTGCTGTGGCTAGCAGGAGGTCACAGAAAGAGCGCCCAGGCGGCCCCGGGCCCACTGGACAGTCGTGTGCTGTCCCCTGCTCTGCCTCGCTCTCATCAGTCTGTACACAGGTCCCACTGAAGTGACCACGCTGCTAGGCAAGCCCAGGAAATGACGCCATTGGAGGCTCACCTTAGGTTAAGAAAGGTCGCACATGAAGAACACTCAACCACCTTCCTCGGGCCACATCTGTGTGTCCCTTCACTTCACATCCAGCCCTAGCCATCACTCTCCCTAACTCGAGATGCCCTGGCCAGAGATCCACAGTCCCATTCTACTCTAAAGCACAGGTTCTGGTGGGATTTACGGAGCCCTCAGAAACCTCTCTTATCCTCAGTACTTGGGAGGCTAAGGCAGGAGGATCGTTGTGAGCTTGAGACCAGCCTGGGCTACAAACTGAGCTCAAGGCCAGCCTGAACTGCATAGTGAGACCCTGTCTCAAAAAGACCAAAAAAAAAAAAAAAAAAAAAAAAACAATACCCTCTTGGATACCTTTGGCCACCTCCCCCCACCCACCACTTCCACCACCCCGAGCTCTTGCTGCTCTTTAGAGAATGTGAGCCACACAGGCAGGATATCAACACACTCCTCAGGTTCTTTGTAGAGCTACTGAGACCCATGTCAAATGCCTCACAAAAATACATGTTTTGCTCAGTGTCTTTACCCTTCAAGGCATTAAGGAGAATCAAGGCACATTCCCGTTCTCCTTGGAATGTCTGTGTGTCATTCCATTCACTCTGGGAGGACGCAACTGACGCTACAGGATTTCCGTGCCCCTTGTCACATGGCAGTGGGACATACAGAGCTCTTCTCAGCTGTGGACTTGGGAGTGCGACACGGTCCCTATCTGCTCCTGTGGTAAGGGTTCCCAGAGCTTTGGAAGTTTTTGCTTTTGCAATAAACAGGTCTCTGGTGAAGCAACACCTTGGTAGGTAGACTAACCTTACATGTGTGCATGCAGAATAGCTTATTATTTTGTCCTTTTTTCAAAGAGGAAAATGAGTCTGGAAAGGCTGGTTTGCATGAGGTCACCCGTGGTGTGACAGGGAAAGTCCACCTTCAAGTCGAGGTCAATCTGTTCCAAAGCAGACTCTTCAAGGATATGCCCAGGAAGTGCAGGTATGCAGGGGCCTTACAGATTTCTCACCATGAAAACAGAAAGGTTTCTTACTAGAAGGGTACAAGAAAAGATCTCCACAGTCCTTCACTGAGAGTATTTCAAATCACAGAGACCAACTGTGAGCTCAAGTACCCTGACTAAAAAGGATATTAACACTGATTTTCCAGAATCTGACTTTTGTGGCAGAAAACGATGCGGTGCACTGCACCCCGAAAAGAAAAGAAATAAAGCTGTGTGCTCAGTGAACACGCGCACTAGCGTCAAGCCTGCGCTGGCCCTTCCCAAATGCGGTGGCAGAAGAAAGTGTGAAGCCTGCTGAAATAAGAGTATTTATGGCTGCAGAAATTCAGCTGCACATAACGGTAATTATGAACAAGATATTTTCCCTAATAAAATTACTGCAAAACAAAATCTGGAGAAGCTAAGTGTTTCCCTATGTTCTCTTTATTTTATTCCATGTGCTCGAGGATGATTTCAGGAAAGAAAGGGAGAGAGAGAGAGAGAGAGAGAGAGAGAGAGAGAGCGAGGAGCAGGAGCGCCCTGGCGAGCCGGCCTCCGCGGAGGGTTGGTTCTGCTTTAGAAACTGGAATGTGTCCAGGCTTGATTTTTATTTTCAATTCACATTTCAGATCCAGCTCCCCCCCAACTCTTTGATCTTTCTCCCTGTCTCCTTACCCGGAAGAGAACCCTTGGCCTTCTCAGCTGGGAGCTGGGAGCACACGTGGAAAGACTGGCTCGGATTCATATTCTTGCCAAATTTAGTCACACAAAGGGGCCTGCGAGGGAAAAAAGAAAGGATGAAAGCAGCAGCCGCCCGACTTCAAAGGCCGCGCCGCCGCGCCGGGCCGGGCAGGCGCCGCCCTCCGCGGATATAAGGAGAGGCCGGGCTGTGCGCCTCTGTCCCAGGCGGGATCAGGGACGTGGGGGGCGCGGGGGGCGTGGGGGACGCGAGGGTGCGGCGCCCGCGCCACGTCAAGGTGCCTGGGGGAAATTTCAGAAAGAAGGGACCAGGGTGTCCCTCTGGGCCACGCACTCCGCCGCCCCCAGGCCCGAAGTGTTCCAGGCCCGTGTCCACCCTGGGCGCCCCTGTCCAGAGGTGGCCCGGCCCGGGTGCAGGACTAGCTCCCATCCCGCCCTCGTCCTCGCAGGTCCCTCGCCTTGGGTGGTGCCGCGCCCCGTGCCCCCACGCGGTGCCTACGCAGGCGGGGACCGTGTCCTCCCCCAGAAGCCGGCCGTCCGGATCTGGAGACCCGGTCACGGTCCCACGGGTTCCCGCTTGGCCCCGGGGTGGGGGTGGCGTCTGTTTGTCTTAGGAGGAGGCGAGAAGAGGCGGAAGAGCCCTGGGGACACAAACTGCCGCTTCCCTCGCTCCCCGCTCCTCTTCCGTTCAACTGAAGGCGCCCTCGCCCTGAGTCCCCTGGAGACGCTGGGGACACCGATGGGGCCGGGTGCCGCCCCTGGGTCACGGGATTCGTCTTTCCAGAGCCCCCCACCCCCGCCCCGCACCTCTCGAGAGGCGCATCCTCTCGGGGCCCCCTCCTTCCTCGGACCCCACCACGGCGCAGCAGGACAGAGTTCGGCCCACCCGAGGGGACCAGGCCGGGTGGGGGCAGGACCGTGGCTGCGCCCCGCTCGGGTCCCTGTAACTGGGGACTCTCCCGGGTCCTCCGGGGTTGGGGGTGGGCACCCCACCCCGTCCCCGGTGTTAATCTCAAACAAGTTCTCTCCCAAACGACACCCAAACCAACCCGAGCCACGGGGAGGCGGGGAAGCAGCAGCGTTGCAGCCAGCCCTAGCGATAGTTTCACGGTCGGAATTAAATCTCATCAAAACGCCCCCTGAAATCCACATCCTGCAGGAATGAGCCTGCCAGCCATAGTCCTCGCCCGAGTTCACACGGGCGACCTTCCTGCCTCAACATTCCAGGGCAGGAGCAGCGGGGCTCCCAAGAACTGAGGCAGCAGAAGCTGCTGGGCGACAGGGATGACGCCAAGCACACGGAGGAGGGGGGCGCTTTTGCGGGGAGCTACACCCCGCCTGCGCCCCCTACTTTTCCCTAGAGACTTCACCGGGAGAGGTCAGGCTCCCAGACAAAGCCTGCAGAAACGGGGCACACGGTGTTTCGCAAACCCCTTTCGGGGAGCGCAGTCCGTCATACAACTTGGGCAAGGGGCGAGGCGTAGGTAGCCAAGGCCTCACCCAGGGAGCCTGGCGCAGGGCGATTTCGTTAGAAACAAGGTTTCCGGAGGAGAGTCACTGCCCAACACCAAACGTAGCGGCGCACCCTCGGCCTCCTGGGGAACAGATGCGGCTAGTTATTGTTCCCTGAATTCCCATCTTCTGCGGCTCCTAATCTCCAAGACACCTGGAGCTGAGCTCCACAGGACGCGGGGAGTCCAGATAATTAACATGAAGGAGAAAATGGGAATTCGAATTAGTTGCAACACTTGAACCGGGGGTTTGTAGGAGTCCTCGTTTAATCTCTCCTTGGCTTCCAGAAAAATACCCTCTGGCCATTCTGCGCCCCCTACCCCTCCTGCGCGGGAGGAAAGGTCGTCTACACTGTTGGCTTTGATGAAACCCCATCTCCAGTTCTGGTCCTAGCGGTCCAGTTGGCGCCGTCATAGGAGGGATTTGGGCTTTGTTTTACCATATTTCTTTTAGATCGGGGCTAAAAATGCCCACCAATACACCATCACATCTCCAAGACAGCCACTCAATCTGATGCCCAATTGCAGTGGAAGGTGTACACCAGCACCATCCCCACAGCAAAAATTGGATTTCTTTCCAGCCTTTCTATCATTGCCTTCTGGACATACTGTAACAGAACATTGTTTTTGCTCTTCTTCTTTGATGCTTAGGAATTTAAGAGTAAAATGGTTTTACCTTTCCTGACCCTGTTTACCAACCCCTAAAAATACCCAAATCTGCCGCATAGAATTTACGTGGGACTACTGGCTGCAACCGATGGGGCCGAGGGAGCCTTTAAGTGATCGTTTTTAAAGCTATTTCCTAGTAAACTCCCATCCTCCCAAATTAGTGATTATCAGAAAGCAAAGTTTCAAAGGCTCCTTTAGACCTGTTAAAGTCCCTACTTACTAAGAAAAAAAAAAAAAACACAGATCTTTGCCTGGCCATCCCTGCATGACAGAACTGAAGTCTGATTCTGAGGTGTTTTCCTTGTTTTCAATTTCAGGGAGCTGAAGACGCATTTCTTCCCGGTCCCTGTTTACTGTTCTGAGGTTTGACGGATGGCTGCTGCTTCGGGTGTAATAATTTTACCTGGATTTTTAACTAAGGGAGGTAGAGAGCCAAGGGACAAAATGTGTTTTCAAACTTCAACTTCCCTGGTACTGTAACTTCACAGAGCGTCTCCTTAAAAGTCCTCTCCTTGTACAAAGTGCATCAAAGAGACAGTGAAGACCTGGGAATGTCTGAGGTCGGACTCAGATTTGCATCCTCAAGGGTCCCTTTCAGCGCGCAGTCCGGGGTGCCAGGGACGTCCGTCCTCCCTCCCTCTGCGGGCTCTGCTCTCCCGGGGCTCCTCCACCTTCTCTTCTCCCTTCTCGGTTCTCTTCTCATGCTGTACGAGGTCCCCACACTCAGCAGCGTGGATCTCCGAAGCCCACGAACGATCTCGAATAACTCTCCGTCCATCCCGTGGTGAGGGCGCGAAGAAATGGCCACTGTTTAAAAAGCGATCTTTAAGATCCAGTCTTCGGTTCCTTCCTACTCGTCCTATTTTTCTCGGTAAGCCTGGAGATTTTTATTTTCGCTACTGTGTGCTTCCTCTGTCTTCAAAGAGCCTGTGCGTGACACGAGGCCCTTGGAAGCCCGGCTGTCCTTCCCTCGCCTTTCTCCTATTAGCTGAGCCTTAGCTGAGCCCCGTCTGGTCTGTTCCCCGCTTCCTTCTTTCCGTCCCCAACTCCCGCCGCATCCCTCGGGAGCATCTATCCTGGCGCGGTGTGGGTCACCGCGGCGGCTTTCTCTTTCATCTTCCGCGGCCGGAGCTGGGGAGAGCGCGTGGGCGCCGGGCAGAGGACGCGGAGTGGGTGGGTGGTGGGAGAGGGATGTGTGGGTGGGGAGAGGGCTAAGACACTCGGGTGCAGTCCGGCCACCCAGGCCGAGTGTCGTGTCCACTCCACGCGAGCAAAGGTGCCTCCTCGTGGGTTACCGGCAGCAGCACCAGTCTCTCCTTCCCTCGCCAAGTTGCCCGACCCTTCCCTCCAGGCGCGCGCGCACACACACACACCCCAAAACTAGGACTCGTCCTACAGGCTCTGGAAAAGGAGGAGAATTTTTTTAGAGCCCTCAACCCCCCCCCCTTCCCCCCCGCTCCAGCGGGCAGCCAAGGAGAGCGGGAGGCGGGGGAGGGGCGGGGAGTCGCGGCGACGCAAGTGGGCAGCTTTTCAGCGCCGGCGAGGCGCGGGAGGCGGCGGACAGGCGGCGGGAGACTCAGCGGCTCACCTGCAGGGCCGGGCGCCCAGAGGACCGGGCTGCGGAGAGCCGGACGCGCCTAGCCTCGCAGGCGGTCAAGTCGCCGCGGTTCCCTCCCGTCGGCCGGGCGACCCCGCGCTCGGACGCCGCGGAGGCGTGGAGAGCCGGCTAGCAGAGCTGGGAAACCCGAGCCGGGAACAAAGAGGGACCCGGCTGCGAGCGTGCGCGTCTCGGCCGGGGCTCCGGAGCAGCCTAGGGGCCCAGTCCCCGGTGTGACGCCCGGGACCCCGCTGGCCCCCGCCGCCGGTGCCGCCGCACGAACTTCACTCTTGGCAAACTTCTGCGCTTCTCCCTGCGTGCTCCGCCGCCACCCCCTCCTGCCGCAGCCGACCACATCCACGCGCCTGGAGGAGGGAGACCGAAGCGAAAGGGACGGAAACTCGCAGCTGTAGAGCGAACACCGCCAGCCCGGCTAGCTCTT